AGTTTAGGTTACAAATCTCCAGCAGCGCAAGCTTCCTGCAGCCGCAAGTCAGAATTTTCAGCAGTAACAACAAAAATATTAATAATAAAAAGAATTAAAACTTGCATCAAAGGCAGAAAGGGACACCCCAGCTCAAGTTTTAAAGGGGATATAATCCAGCAGCCTTGGATGAGAGTGGGGGTCAGTGAGGCCAGGATGAGCAAGGAAGGGGGTGGGGAACCCAACCTCTAACTAACAATTTCTCCAGCATAAAAATGAAACATCAAATTCGTTAGCCCAGGGCCTTCATTTTTCCCCTTCCACATTATAACTAGTTATTGAACTCGCTGGAAGATCTAAAGGCCATTTGCGAAGAGACAAATTTCAATGGAGTTTCCCCATCAATAACCCCATGGCAGTGACCTATTGGAACAAGTCAAACACCCGAGGTGAAATGCAGGTCACTCTGTCTAACCAATATTAAAATGCGGCCACTTTTTAAAAAGCCACTTTAAACGAGATTTGAGGAAAATTGAATTCCAAGGAAGGCAAGGCAAGGAGGGGGAAATCCACTAGAGGACCTTGCCTATGGTCTCCGAACAAACAAGAGAAATCCATCTTTAATATTTTAAAGGGGGGCAAATTAACATTCCATGATTGCTTTTTTTTTTTTTTGAGACTATAAGCGATTCCAGAAGGAAAAAAAAGGTTTAGTATTTTCTGGTGACACGTCCGGGTTATTAAAATCATTTTAGACCAATTCATTACTTTTACTGACAAGAGATTTAAGAAAAAATCAATTAAGCATTTGCATATTCTTTTGCATACATTACCTCTGCCTGCTGGCATTAGAAAGGGACAAAAACACACATATATGCATACACACACGGCAAAAAATGAGATAAGAGTCTTGCTGTAGTTTGGGGTTTTCAAGTTGCTTGGAGAAAAAATAAAAATGAAGTGAATTACTTGATTGCATACCATCTAAAAGTCAACTTATTTGAGGAGGAGGAAAGAGAGGTGTTGCGATTTTTAATCTCTAAAACAACAATAACAGAACCACATCATACACACACACAAAATCCTGCACTTCTGAGAATGGGAAAAGCAGTGACCCTCATTTTCCTTCTCTTTGCCCTCCAAATCCTGAGTTGGTTCTCCCATTTCTTTTTCTCCCTAGGAAAATCCAGGGAGCCTGAGAGGTGAGATTTTAATGCAGCACAGAATGTGTGGAGCCGCTGGGGTCCCTCAGCCGGCAGCTTGTTACTGGGGAGGGGAGGAATATGGGTTATCCAACGGTCAGTATGGTAATCCGGGCACAATAAGGCCTCGCACACAATGGACACATATTTTTCTTCAGCCGTGTCAGAAGGGAAGCGCTTTGTACTGAAACATGTTTCCGAAAGAGAAACCAGATCGAGATTTAGAAAGGAGTGGCATTCAGAGAGCGCTTGGAAGCTGGCAAAGTGTGGTCAGAAAAAATAAAAAATAAAATTGGGGCAGAGAGAGGTGGAGGGTAGACCAGGGGTGGAGATCCTTGGACTGGCAAGACAGGAGCAGGAGAGCAAAGCACAAAAGGAGAGAGGACCAGATACGAGGATTCATCACAGGCAAGAGCTGCTTGAGTGCCCCCCCATTAAGCCAATGCTAAGTGCACTAGCTCTCCAGAGGGATTTTATTTCTGTGCTTGTAATAATATCCAGGTGAAAATGTTTGCATGTATGTGTGTGGTAGAGTGTGGCCGGCTTGCTATTTTCCCCTTGTGAGAGGCGACTTCCTTGCTATTAAGGTATACGCACCCAAAAAGAGTTTTTTGGCAAATGATGTGGATGAATGTGGGATCTCCCAGATTTCATTTTCTGGAGGTGCATGTTGAATTAGCTGTGCAAACCTGGGATGAGAACCCCACATATTTATGGCTGCATAAGGAGGCATTTAATGTATTAATAAGTATTAACAGTATGTATGCATATATATTTGTTAGCTGTGATAACCAAAGACAGACTTGACATTCAGCTGGAGGCAACTGAACTCTCTGTATCTACTTATACATATTGGCCCAAAGTGGGTTTCCTGCTCCGGCTCCCTTGACCCACCTGCAGGAGCTCAGAATCCTGGGGAGTGGGGGCGTAGGATGGACGACGCCTTGGGAAGAACTCCCTAACAAGCCCAAGAAGGTGAAGAGATGGAAGAAAAGAGGGTTGTCGTGGGGGGGGGGGGGGGGCAGGACTGGTAGAAGGTGAGTGTGAGGGCTGGGAGCACAGGAGCCAGGCCAATACCTCACCTTTCCAAGGTGAGGAAGAGAATATTCTGGGCCAGGATTGGGTGGGGCAGCCTGATCCCGGGGCTGGCTTGAAGGGAGGTTGGGGGTGGGGCTGGAAGGCTTTCTCCTCCTTCAGCAACCCTCCCCCCACCCTACCTGAGCTCTCTGGAGCTTTGGCCCTCCCTGGGGGGCAGTCTGGGGGCTCTGGTTCAGACTCTTTATGTAGGGCAGCATTCAACATTGGTTTCCGTTTGCCCTCTTCCAGCAACTTATAATTAACCCACCTCTACCACCAATAACTACAACAAATAAAATCCTCCCAGGCTCCAAACCACTATCAACCAAGCAGCAGCCTTCCCGCCTCTCCACAGTTTCACGTTCCTCTTCCGACCCAACTGGCCAGTCCTCACATGCAGACGATCCCAGACAGGAGTGGGCAGGGACCCACTGGGAAATGTGGGACTCTCTTCTGAGAGACGGTGGCCCTCCAGGGAATTCCTGTTCCCTCACCCGCCTGGTGGTAAGGGGACAGGGCACTGTCCTCCTGGGGGGAGGGTATCCAGGGGCCCCCAAGCACTGGCTCCCAGTGAGCCCTGGGATGAGGAGAGACTCGGCACTGGAGGGTAGAGAGTGGCCAGCGGGCCCAGGCGGTTCTCATGCCTGCCCTCAGGGTGAGCCCTCATTTGAACGTGGGGACCCCCTCTCCCGCATCCCTAAGGTGGTGAAAGACAGGTGGGGAATCTCCCGCCTTCAGTCTCCCTCTCACAAGGGCTCTATTTTTTTTTTCCCTTTCCCCTCCTCATTCCCTTAATTGCAGATGTTCTAATTAAACCCTCAAATAGTTGTTATGCCGTTTTAAAAGGTACTTATTCAAGTGTCAACCAGGCTGGGCTGGGAGGAGGCAGCGTAGGGCGGCGAATTAAAGGTAGATTGACTAATCACGGCGGCGATCATAATAATAAAATCAGAGGGAAAAAAAATCACATTACGACTTTTCGTGGAAAGGAGGGAGCAGGCAGCCAGCGGCCGCCAGCCCTGCGCCGCCGCCGCCGACACAAAGAGTGCGGGCGATTCCGCGAGACTGATTTATGACGTTTTACAGCCCTATAAAAGCTGTAGCGACGAGGCAAGCGCTCCTACCACCGCTGGCAGATTTAGTCTAATAAATAAAACATAAACAGTTAACTTTATGTGTCACTTTTATTGTTATCAAGTAAAATATAGCCGAGCCCCGGCAAGCTATGATTTTAAACTATAATTGTTATCAAGTACAACAAGGGGACCCAGCTCCCTCCCTGGGCTCTCCCTTCTGCCACCCCCCAACTCTGAGTTATGGGATCAGCTAATTGGAATTAGTGGCACGACGTGGCCACCCCTGGCTGCAGGGGGGGGGGCGTCAGAAAAAGCAGCCCTTTCTTGCCCCCTCCCTTCTCCATGGCCCTGCCACCCTGCCATCAGGGTATTCCTGTGGGTGGGTGGCAGAGAGAGGGGAGTGGGTAGGAATGGACTGGAGACCCCCAAGTCCTGCCCAGCCTCCCCAGCTTGGTGAGTTCACCCCTCAGCTTTTGGAAAGCAGCCTGGAGCCGGCCCTTGGGAATGTGTGTTTACATGTAAACACATGTGTTACATGGATACAATCCCTGGCCGGAAGCAGGCTCTGCCCACACAGGCCTCCCACTTAGCTAGGTCTGCGCTCTGTGGGGATGAAGAAAGAAGAGCTCCCAGGGCCTTGGCTGGGCACCATCGCAGGGCTCTGACCCCTGGCAGATCCCTCTCCTCCTTGCCGCAGGTCCTTAGGAACCAGCCTTGGAGGTAGTTGTCAGAAAGCAGCAGGCCCAACGGAATGAGAGTGGAAACAGCAGTGAGCAGAAGAGATCCTCCGCTCTGGGGCCCGGGCAGGGAGGGTCAGTGGGTACTAGGGGAGGAGGGCAAGGCTTCTGAACTCTGCTTTTGCCAACCACTTCCTGTCTCTCTTTAGCGGGGGTTCAACCCCCAGACCTCCAGAAATGACGTCAGAATCCTTTGCATCCCGCTGCCTCTACCTGCCCTGTCCGGCTGGGACCCTGCCTCGCCGGCCCCATGGCCAGAGGGTTGGGTGAGTGTGTATGGGGAAGAGGGCTGGACTCTGGTATCCTTGGATGGGGGGCACCCCAGGCTCTCCAGCCTCCTGGGCTCAGCCTGGGCCCCTCCCCATCCAACCTCCACTCCAGTCCTCATTCAACTTCCTCTTCCTGCAAAAGAGGGGCGCTGCCCGGTGACCTACACAGACTGAGACAGGATCAGGATCGCCATGAATGGAGACCTCTGGAAAAGCTCTGGAACCGAGGCCCAGGGGGCCCACCGGAGGCCCACGGGGAGACCCTGGGAGGGGGCTGAACCACAGCCTCCCCACAGCCCCCCAAAGCCCAGGTTTTGGAAGGGAGCTGGGGGCTTCCCATCTCCTTTTGCAGGGGAGGGCTGTCAGTCGGCGGAGTGCGTACTGGGGGCACCTCAGCCCCCGCCGGCTAGCCCCACATCACCACCACCACCACCACCCCCCCCAGCACCACCACCACCACCACCACCACACACACAAAAAAATTGGATACATTTTGAATAAAGCGATTCGGTTCCTTATCCGGGGACTGGGTTGCTCCGTGTGATTGGCCGGCGGAGTCACATGGTGAAAGTAACTTTACAGGGTCGCTAGCTAGTAGGAGGGCTTTATGGAGCAGAAAAACGACAAAGCGAGAAAAATTATTTTCCACTCCAGAAATTAATGATCATGAGCTCGTATTTGATGGACTCTAACTACATCGATCCGAAATTTCCTCCATGCGAAGAATATTCGCAAAATAGCTACATCCCTGAACACAGTCCGGAATATTACGGCCGGACCAGGGAATCGGGATTCCAGCATCACCACCAGGAGCTGTACCCACCACCGCCTCCGCGCCCTAGCTACCCCGAGCGCCAGTATAGCTGCACCAGTCTCCAGGGGCCGGGCAATTCGCGAGGCCACGGGCCGGCCCAGGCGGGCCACCACCACCCTGAGAAATCACAGCCGCTCTGCGAGCCGGCGCCTCTCTCAGGCGCCTCCGCCTCCCCGTCCCCAGCCCCGCCAGCCTGCAGCCAGCCAGCCCCTGACCATCCCTCCAGCGCCGCCAGCAAGCAACCCATAGTCTACCCATGGATGAAAAAAATCCACGTTAGCACGGGTAGGCAACTTTGCTTTTTGCTCTCCCCCTCCCTCCTCTCTTCCCCAGCGCTCCCCACCCTCCCTGGCCCCCTCCGGCCCCCCGTCCTCCTTTCTCTCCTTCCCCCTCTCTCTCCAGGAGCGACTCTGGGTTAGCACAATTGAACTGGATTTACGAGCGAGAATGGGTAATTACATCCCCCATAAATTTTATGGCTTAGCTACTCTGGGCAGTCCGAGCCATGTGCTACGATCTGTTATGTATGTGTGAAAACTATGCTCGCTTTCTAAGGGCGCATAAATAATTCAGTGTCGTTACAATGAGGATTCCCCTCTTATTACACTACAAAGTCTCCAGCTTCCTTCAACTTCTTTATAACCCATTTAGCTTGATGACTTTATTTCCACCACCCCTCCTCCTGTTCCACAGAGCTGAGGATGGGGTGGGGGGGAGCCTGCTGCCTCTGAACCCCACTATTTGCTTTTCCCCCTCCTCCTCCCCCCAGTGAACCCCAATTATAACGGAGGGGAACCCAAGCGCTCGAGGACAGCCTACACCCGGCAGCAAGTCCTGGAATTAGAGAAAGAGTTTCATTACAATCGCTACCTGACCCGAAGGAGAAGGATCGAGATCGCCCACTCGCTGTGCCTCTCTGAGAGGCAGATCAAAATCTGGTTCCAAAACCGTCGCATGAAATGGAAGAAGGACCACCGACTCCCCAACACCAAAGTCAGGTCAGCGCCCCCGGCCGGCGCTGCGCCCAGCACCCTCTCGGCAGCCACCCCGGGCACTTCTGAAGACCACTCCCAGAGCGCCACGCCGCCAGAGCAACGGGCAGAGGACATTACCAGGTTATAAAACATAACTCACACCCTGCCCCCACCCCGTGCCCCCGTCCTCCCCTCACACACAAATTGACTCTTATTTATAGAATTTAATATATATATATTTTTTGGTTCTTTTCTCTCTTCCTTCCACCTTGTCCCTTGTCAATTCCAAACTGACAAAACAGATAAACAAGCCCTCTGCCCTTGTCTCCCTTCCACTGTTAAGGACCCTTTTAAGCATGTGATGTTGTCTTAGCATGGTACCTGCTGGGGTTTTTGTTGTTGTTGTTGTTGTTGTTGTTTTTATTTTTTTAAGGTCATTTTGGGGGGTTATTTATTTTTTAAGAAAAAAGCTGCAAAAATTATATATTGTAAGGTGCGATGGTCTGGTTTGGGTGAATTTCAGGGGAAATGAGGAAAAGAAAAAAGGAAAGAGATTTTTAAGCCAATTCTCCTCCTCCTCCTCCTCCTCCTCCTCCCCCCCCCCCTTTCCTTAGGCCTTTTGCATTGAAAATGCACCAGGGGAGGTTAGTGAGGGGGAAGTCATTTTAAGGAGAACAAAGCTATGAAGTTCTTTTGTAGTATCGTTGGGGGGGCTGAGAGGAGAGGGGGGACGACAGCAGACAAAGCTAAATGCATCTGAAGAGCCTCTCAGAGCTGTTCAGTTTGAGGAGCCAAAAGAAAATAAAAATGAACTTTCAGTTCAGAGAGGCAGTCTATAGGTAGAACCCCCCCCCACCATCGTGGTTATTGTGTTTTTGGACTGAATTTACTTGATTATTGTAAAACTTGCAATAAAGAATTTTAGTGTCGATGTGAAATGCCCCGTGATCAATAATAAACCAGTGGATGTGAATTAGTTTTACGTCAATGTCTGATGGTTTCTTTTTATCCTCCTCCTCCTTCTGGCCTGGTAACATCCCACCTTCTCTATAGTTGCCTGAGTTTACTCTAAGCAAACACACAAATCTTAACTCTCAACTCAGTTTCCCAATGTCCTTAGACGAACCGGCAAGGGGGTTGGGGCAGGGGATCCTCAAAAGAGGAGATATGGGAGATTAGTGCTGCTTTCTCCCGTCCCTTCCCTGAGTCTGCAGAGAGGGACATAGAGTATGGAGCTGGGTCTCAGTTTCTTTAGTTAGGCACAGTATCTTCTTTTTGTTCATGCCTCTCTCCCCTCTTCTCTTTTCTCTCTGCTGAGTAGGCCTGCCTGATTTGCAGACAAGAAGGCAAGTTTAAGGAGTGGCGGGGGGAGACAAGAGTTTTCATCTTTTAGGACTCTTCTGGGATGAGGGATGAAGGAAGATGCCCCCTCAATGTGCCTGTGCTTCTTAAAAGAAGGAAGATTTTTGAGCTGGTGATTCTGGAGCAGCAAAGTGACCTGTCAGGGTGGCTTCTCTGTTTGTTTAGACTTGGAAAGAAGGGTGAAGTGGAGGCCAGAGGCCCAGGAGGCCCCCTTGCATGGGTAGGCCTCAAAGCCTGATGCCTAGAGATAATGAAGAACTTTTATTTTTTCCCCTAACTTTTATCATGGACCTGCCAGGTGTTGAGAAAAGACACAGGGAGAGGCAGGGACCAACCCTCTTCCTATAAGCTCCCAGGTCCTGCCTGGCAGGGCTTGGGGGACAGCTGGAGCAAGGCTCTCAGGCTGTTTTTAAAAAAAAAAAAAAATTCAATTGTTTCCTTAGGGATAAAAGAAGGGGGGGCAGGAGAAACAACAACAACAAAAACTGGCCTGGATTACCTGAATAATTAATTTAAGCCAAAGGCGCCCAAATAATCCTGATCCTGAAGACCAGGCCCTAAGCAGGGCCTGCTCAAATCTTTTCTCGTTTGTTGGGAGGAGGTGGGGGTGGGTACTTGGTGAGCTCCTCAGACAATTTATCCAAATTTCAGAATAGAGGGCTACCAGAAGTAGAATAAAGAGGGCGAAGAGATCTGGGATTTCTAGAGGAGCCAGGGATACCCCTCTGCCCTCTCCCCAAATTCTGGAGTGAAAGGTAACAATGGGGCCAGTTGTGAAAATCTGTTGTTCAGCCATGCTTTGGATTTATTTCCTCTTGAACCACTTGCTGGGTGGTACTTGGAGTGGCATGCACATGGGTGCGTGCGTGTGTGTGTGTGTGTGTGTGTGTGTGTGTGTGTGTTTTGGGGGGAATCACTTGGTCCTGTAGGTCTACTTTCTCCCCCCAACGGTGCCCTGGAGATAGCAAAACATGCTGCCTACAGTGTGAGGAAGAAGGGCCAACAATTATCTGGAGTTATTTTATGTAATCAAGTGAATTAGGGTCCAAATCGGACTGTAGCTCCTAGCATCTTGAGGCAATTGACTTTGGGGCAGGAAAAGGGGGTCCAACCATGCTTGGGAAAAGGGAAGGAAGGTCTGAGGGGTGGACTTAGGTGTCTTTTTAACCCTGTAAGGAAGTTTAGATGGAAAAAGGGGGGGGGGAGAAAGAAAACGAACTTAAGATCCATAGTCTTATTCTAACTTTGCTCCTTTGGTGTTTTAGAGGAATTTATTCCCCTCTCTTCCCCAAAGCTGAAGAGGTGAAATCGAGGAGGAAAAAAATGACTCTCTTTTCTTTCTTAAGCTTCTCCCTGAACTTGCCGAGGGGACACTCTAGCTCAGGAAAGAGTAGCAAAGGGTTGGCACAGTTCTTTTATTGGCCTTCTTTAGGGGCTTCACCTAGGCTCCCCTCCTCTCACACGTACACACACATAGTTGTTCTCTGTCCCTCTTGGTGTGACCAGGGGAAACATCAGAAATCCCTAATTCTTGACAAATGAAACAAAACTAAACCCCCTTACATTTGAGTTTTTGAAGATTTTGGCCTCTGGCCTTCCCTCCAGTGGGCTCCATTCTCTCCTCTTTGCCCCAAGCTCTCCTTTCCTTGGGCTTGCCCACCCCAGAATGGGATCAGGGTCCCAGAGAGGGAGTGAGGGGCGTGGAGGGCCGACCCGGGCCCCTAGCTCCAACAGTCTGGGTCCCTGCTGCTGCTCCCCGCGATGCTGCCACAGCCTCACTGGGAAGGGCTGGAGCTTTTATTGAAGTTGGGTTGAGCAGAGGGGAAAGGCTGGGGGGGGGGGGAGGACGCAGCCCAGGTTCACGGGGAGGACACAGCATTTTCTCTCCCATCGCCTTTATATTCGGCAGCGCCTCTGACCTCTCCCCCACCCCCATCTCCGACCCTCCCAAGCCAGCCCTTGCTCAGCCCCTGGTCTCCAGATAGGATGCCACTGCTTTTGTAGGGCTGGGGATTTCTTGCCCAGAGTAATGGGAGAGGCAAGGCGCATGAATGCCTGCTAGCGCATTGTATCTTTCTCGCCAATGGCTAAGTTAAAAGAAGACGGGGTGAAAGCGGCAACGCCAGTCTTCCAAGATCCTTCTCTCCAAGCCACCTGGAGATCCCCACAGGTCACAACCCCCCTTGCCATGTAAGTAGTTAGCACTCGATCTGCTCAGGGTGAGGAGCACAGCAGCTACAACTCTGCCTCTGTGTGCATTTCCATTTTTAGCTCAACTCCCGATCTTGGGGAGGGAAGGCGGGAAATCCAATCATGAACAGAGGGCTTCTGCTGGGGGAAAATGGAGTTTCTGTGCCCAGTCGTGTACCTGGGGAGTGAAGAAACTTGGCTCAGAAAGGAGAAGGTGGGGAGGGAAAGTGAGCCTGGGGTGGGGGAAGGCCTGGGGAACTCGATTTCTCTGAGGGCGTCTTGCGGCTACTCGTATGAAGTTTCCTACAAAGTTTTCCCTGCAATCTGTGCATCAGCTTTTTTTTTTTTTCATGCGTGGACTTAGCGGATTGCAGTTCAGAGCTGCCTTCCTGCTGTTAGATGGATGTGTGTGTGTGTGTGTGTTTGGGGGAGTGGAATGGAAGATAAAACAAGGGGGTTCTCCAGAACTTGGGACCAGGGTACCCTCTGCTAGGCACCATTTGTCCACTTGTCCAAGATCAGGGAAGACAGACTCCGAAGGAGGCCCTCCAGACTGAGGGTGCTCTGACGGGGAGGAGCAGCGTGCTGGGGCAATTCCACCATCTTTTCCCCTGCCTTTTGCCCAGTCCTGGGGGAGCACGCTATCGCCCTCACAGAGCTCCTTCTCATAGTTTTCCACAGCTTCTATCTGGTACCCCTCTTTCAGAGAGCTAATTCTGAGACCCTTCCAGGCTTGGAAAAAGAGACAGAGGATTCCCCCCAACTCCAGCGGCCACCAGAGCACAGAAGGAATATTTATTACCTCTCTGGATATCATTATCTAAGAATACAATTTTATGCACTTCCTAATCTGTTAGCTTGATTTATCTGGATGGGCAGGAGCCCAAAATAAATATTTGGGGGATTCGGAAGGAAAAAAGTCTTTGCTTCTGACCAGTCTTTCTGATTGAACTGATCACCCCCCCACCCCACCAACTTGCCCTGATTTTTCTACACCCCATATCACTAGCCCCATTTAAATTTTTTCTCTGTAGCTTGTGGCTGTTTGGGGAATCGGTGTTTTAGTTGCCTCTTGAGAATTAAAAATGGCCGGGTATACTGTTTGAACCAGAGACCTGAAGGGGTCCCTCAGCCACCTTAAAATCTGTATAGCTCTCGATGTTCGGCTCCCTTTTGGATTTGGTAGCAGAGAGAAACCGAGGTTTGCTCATCTGCCCTCCAGGTCCAGGAGCCCCTTCTCAGACCTGGCTCTGTCTCCACGCCTTAGGATTTGTCTTCTCTTCTCTCTCTGGGGTCAGCTCAGGAGCTTCTTGAACTACAGGGTCCATCCGGAAGCGGAGCCCACAGCCATGCAGACAGGGGCAAGGGCCTCTGCAGCTCCATCTTCCTGCTTCCCGGTTCCTGCAGACCCGCCTAGCTGATAACTTAGGAGGCAGGGAAGACAAGGATGGGTAGGGAGGATCTCCCCTGTTTGAGGGTGAATAGGGTGACGGAGTGTAATAAATGGAAAGGGCTATTTTAAATTTCCAGTCCCCATCAGCAATGACCAGATTTCCTAAGATGTAGGGTCCTCTAGGGTCTCTCCTGCCAGTTGGG